AGAATTCCCCAGCCAGCCATGCTGGCTGGGGAATTCTGGGAGTTGAAGTCCACCCATCTTAAAGTTGCCAAGGTTGAGAAACATTGGTTTAGATAAATGTATAGTTTGACATTGCTGCTTTCTGCTGTATTCACGGCTTTTGTAGTATCTGTAATAAAACTGGTTTATCAAAAACTGTGTGGCCTTGAATCTCTGCCTGCTAGCCTTCAAGTTCAAATAATGATCAAGGTGAACCTTTACACAAGACTGTATAGGACAGCCTATCTATAATATAAAGACTGTCTGTATATGGTTGGGTTTCATTCTCCTTCTTCTCTTCTCCTCTTTCCAGGGCTGGAAAAGATACTATTTATACTGCTACATGATTGGAAATGCATTTTTATCCTTTGCTCAAGCAGGTCAAAAGTGTGCAGAAAATGGGGCTACTTTAGCTTCTGTTGAAGATAGGTAATAAACATTGATTAAAAAGTAGCTTTGATTAAAGAGCACTAATTACATATTTTACCAGTGTCTTCTGCAAAAATAGATTCTCATGGCAGACAGCTTTCCCCAGTCTGGTACCCTGCAGTCCTGCTCCGCTTCAACTTTTAGTATGCTCACGTTGCATGACCAAAGACCAGTTTAGTTGGAGATAATGAGTGAAGTCCAAACATCTGATGGTCCTCAAGTTAGGACAGCTGATCTAAGGGACAGATATTCAAGGAGTTGACGATTGTTTACCTGTTACCTAATCGTTGAGGCTAGTTTTGGTGCAAGCCTTGGTTAAATTTAAAGACACACAATATCCGAGATTGTTCCAACCACCAGAGGCAATTTTTCAAGGACAGAGGGGGTTTCATGGGGAAGGGGGAAAAATAGACAATTCCTGTTTCATGGATGTGACCTATTCCATTTAGGATGAAACATAAAGGTCAGACCCGTATGATACTCTCCAAATGTTTGAGCTGCACTAATTGCTGTTGGCTGTACTGGCTTGCACAATAGCTTGTATGGATGGCAGGAAGTTGCCTACCCCTGGGAACTCTGCAATTCTAGTCTCCATTTCAAGAACCATGATTATAATGTCTGAAAGAAACTTGTTCTACTCATCTCCCTGGAGTTGCTCAGACTGACAACCAGGAATAATATTTCTCCAATAGCAATGAATGTGCTCTCTTTCTGATAAATCATCTAAAATGTTTGTGAGTTGTGAACATATGTGCAACTGCTTTAAAGCATTTTAAAATCATTTTTGTTACTAATATTTTGCAGAAATAGCACATTGTGATAAATAAATCTTGCCCTTTATCCCCTTTCTACAGATATGAACAAGCCTTTCTGACCAGTTTGGTTGGATTCAGGTCTGAACCTTACATCTGGATTGGTCTTTCTGACACACAAGAAAAAGGAGTGTTCAGGTGGACCAGTGGAGAACGTGTCCAGTTCACTCACTGGAATTCAGAAATGCCAGGTACTTACAGTTATATTTTGCAGATGGCTCTGCTCTAACCTGTCTGGATTTGAGCATGGAAGACCAATTCTTACTTCATTTCTTGATCACACTGAATTCTAAAGAACATTTGTTTATTTTTCTCAGTCACATGAACATGTCTTTGCTGAAAATTCATTTCTTTGGAACTGACTGAAATGCAAATAGATTTTCCAAGGTGTTTTTATTTAATTGGTCTGCTTATTGTTAATTATTTGTTTTCTTAGCACTGTCCATTGATCTGATTAAATCCAAAAGTGAATTTATGTGCAATATTTTGAAAGATTCTTACTCAGATTTCAACTTTTCTGTCCTATCGAAGATAAGAATAGCAAATATAAGCCTGGCACAATATCAGTTTGGCATGAAGTCATGTCTTTTTTAGAAATATTTTTCCTTCTTCATTAATCTTTATGAACAACATAATCTCAAATTTTAAAAAATGACAGAATCCTTTGGGAAAATGCTTTGGGAAGTTATACTAAAATAAATCAAGAGGCAACCATATATTTATCTTGAATGAGGTATCTCACTTTAAATGACACAGACCTGTTTATTGCTTAATGTGTCTTGAAGGTCGGAAGCCAGGCTGCATTGCAATGACAACTGGAACTACAGCTGGATTATGGGATCTTCTGAAATGTGAAACCAGAGCGAAATTTCTTTGCAAGCGCTTGGCAGATGGAGTGACTCCTCCACCAATACCAACTACAACACCTGTCCCTCAATGTCCTGAAGACTGGGCTCCAAGCGATGGAAGGAATGTGTGCTTCAAAGTATGCCCCTTCACTGTAGAATGTATGAAGTAAGAAAAGCTAAGCTCAATTCCTGGTAGCTTCATGGATGTTGCATGCCATCTTTTTGGCAACAATATGGAAGTAGTTTGCCATTGCCTTCTACCAAGATGGTTTTTCAACTTTCCAGCCTAGATGACAACCATGATATACCTTACTTGTCTTTTTTCTACTGGTCTCCTATCAAAGACTCTAATCCAAACACAGAGTTGAAACAACGTAATTTCTGAGACCAACAATGGTATCTGTGTGTATGTGTGCACGCGCGTGCATGTGTGTGTGTGTGTATGAGAGAGAGAGAGAGAGAGAGAGAAAGTCAAGATGGTGGCCCCAACCATAAAAATCAAAGCCCCATCTTTCTGATTATACGGCCCCAACCCATATAATCATAAAAAAAAAGGGCAGGGCTTTGATTGCATACTTGTGGGTACAATCTTGATGATTTTGATTTCCTCCCTATTGACGCTTCTGGAGACTGGACAAGCGTAGCTATCTGCTGCCACCTGCTGATACATCAAATGTATACAAATCTTAATAAATGCATCTTTCCTTTCATTTTTATATCTGTAGGGTGCTCCTTTAGGACAGGTGACATACCTAAACACATATTGATGGCGGTGTTTTGCTCATCTCCACTTCTCTGGAGGGAAATCCTAGAAATTCAATACAATTCCAAGTCTTTCTTTTGAAACTGAGGCTTATCTTGGCTGATTTAGATAAAACTAAAGAGGTTTGGAACTACTTTGTACATGGATAGGAGATTATCAGGGAATTCCATGGCTGTAGGCTAGAAAAATATTTTGGAAGAAGACAGTGGCCAACTACTTCTGTATTGTTGACAAGAAAGCTACATGTCCGCGAAATCACCAGGTGTTTGTGCTCAATGGTTACTCTATTTTACTAAAAAATGAGTTTTCTATTATACTATATTGCTATTGTTGTTATTACCATGCCTTTCTATCCATGGGAAACTCAAGGGAGTTCTCTACAATTAGATATTAGCAATTTAGAACAGATTTAAAAAGCAGTTTAATTCAGGCCTGGCTGGAAAAAAAAATCTTCCATTCTTTCCTGAAAGTAGAAAAAGTGGAGGGAAAATTATGCGCATTCTATAGCTTGAGAATGGTTTTATTTATTTAGCTTTAGTTTTTTGTGCATTCTTTACTTTCGACAAAGATGGAGGGCCAAATGGCTTGATGGAAGAATATCAATTTTGGACGCCCAGGATCCTGAATTTTAATTCCTCATATGCTTATTACAAAGAATTTGAAGGGCAGATAAACCAACGATTTCGGGAAGCCACATCTATTCAGAATAGTCTGTAATGGATGATATCATCTTTTCCCAACTGCTGCCAATCAAGTTTGTTCTGGGAATTTCAGGAACTGAATTCCAACTGATTGGAGAGAATCAGATTGAGGAAGAAAGAATGATGTGGGCCAGTGTAAAAATTGTCTAAAAATTATAATCAATAGCTGAACACAACTGAACTAGGAAAACCTAGTTTTAATGTTGTCTGTTACTTCTCACGTTTCTTCTTCTGTTGTAACTTTGGTGCATACATCAGTATCATGATCATGCCTTGCTGATGACCTGTTTCTCAACTTTATCATGTGTACATTTTTTTCTCCTGCCTAATTGCGAAATAATGTATTGTCATTAGGCTTTCTTAAAACATGACAAGAAATCATGGGCAGATGCTCGGAGTTTCTGCTTAGCAATTGGAGGTGATCTGGCTTCCATTACTAGTGCCCAAGAATCCAATTCGCTGCAGAATTACTTGCGGTGAGTACATGGATCGATCCTGCAATCGTAACTCTTTCATTCTAGCAGCAGAGTCAGAATGCCTTTGAACCTCATAACTGAATCCAGTTCTGTTGGAAATAGATAAGATATAAATTGGAATTCACACACCCAAACCCACATACTGCCACTGAATACTGCACTGGAGAGTCGAAGAGTTGAGATGTACATAAGGTGACAGAACAATTGAACATTAGGGGAAGGGTCAGACCTCTGACTTTATAACATGTAACACATTCTCTTTGAGGTGACCAACCTTTTTCCTGCCGAGGATCAGGTTCCCAAGGAAGTTTTCTATCTGGGGCTGGAATGCGTGCCAGTTGGGGAAATGGAATAAGCTCAAAGTGGGAGGAATTACTAATTTCCCCTTTTGTTTGGCATCCACCAATTTTTCTTTTCGCCTAGCTATCCTTTTACTTTCTCACTGTTCTTCATTCTGACACTCTATTCTCTTTTTTTGCTAGTAGATGGTGGACAAAGGCCATGATCCAGACCCGCTCCTTTTTTACATGCTGGTAACATGGATGTCCAAAAGAGGAAAGGTTTGGATTATGGCGTTGCATCCTCCATCTTATTTACTTATTTATTGTATTCATATAGCCACTCACATAAAAGTGACTATGGGTGGCGTACCACAATTAAAAACATCTCACTTGCTTTGATACCTCCTGCAGACACTGCTGGCAGGTTGTTAAGATTAACCTTATTTCAAGAGGCCAAAAAGAACATTTGAAAATTACTGTGCATTTTTACGACATAGCAAGTGTGCTTATCAGAAACATTTATTGGTTTGCTCTTACAGAAAGGTTCAAACATTTTCAGGGGCAGATTTTAATGAAAACCACCCTAACACAGCTTGTCCCGCTTTTTAAAATCCTTGGTTTTATTTGTGTTTGTGTTATATTTTAGGAACTCTGGAGTCGTCTATACACATTTCTGGCTTGGTTTAAATTATATAAATCCACAGGAAGGGTTTAAATGGAGTGATGATTCACCAGTGAGTGATTTCAACCTTTTTCTCAGGCATTATTCTTCCTGTTTTTTTATATGCTTTGGCAAAAAATAAGGGTCTAGAATTTTGTACTGAAATAACGTAATAATTTGAATAGAAAGAGCATCCCATTTTGGCTTTTCTGCAGTGGGGTTATAATTCATTTTACCTGAGATATGTTGTTTTTAACACATATTTTGGATGCTTTAAATTCTACTTTTGCAGAAACCTAAGGTCTCAGAGCCTGATTTACACGTTAAAAGTTGCGTCATTTAAAGTTCTTCACATTTTGTTTCACAATATTTGTAGAAGTCTCACAGGTTTGCTCAAAATAAATTTAAATTGGCCATGTTTTTTTTTAAAGTTAATTTGATTCTCTGAGTTATTAGGTCTAATAAAAGCTTGTCCTAAAGATTTCATCAAAACTGGTTGATAAGCATGCTCTTCAGAACAAACAGGCAGTCAAAAAATGTGACAACTGTCTTGTGTTGGTTGCCAACCGAGGTAAAAGGTCCACTACCAAACTCCATGACTTAGATCAGAATCAACAGGTTTGCTGACATCCACAACCTAGCCTTCTCCCTCCAGAAATCACAATACCAAAATTTGTTGGCAAAAGAACAAGTTCAGTTCTTTATAAATTAAATAAAGATAAAATAAGTATTAAACCTCCACGAGGCTGGTTGGCTTATTTATTTATTTCAGGTATTTCTATGGTATATAAAGGAATCTCTTTTACCCATCCCAGCCCTCACAATGTCAAAACGAAGACCAGAAATATCTGCTGTGCCTCCACAAGTGATGTTACTGCATCACCCCATTCCCAGAGCCTTCAGTAGCCAAAAGAAAGATGATCATGATATTGATAAATGGTGACAATCAAGTGTGGCCTCCAGCTGAAAAGCCTATCTGGCCCTGAGCTTGATATAGTCTGTGGATAGAGAAGTGATATAATTAACATTTTAAAACTCAAGCAAAATGAATTCTTAAAAAAAAAAAAAGTCCCTGAGAAATTACGAAGTTTTCTTGACTGTTGTAGTTAATTGGCACAATGGCAGAACACTTGCTTAGCCTATAAAGAGCCCAAGATTGAACCCTAGACCTCCAATATGAGTTGAAAAACTCCAGTCCAAAGTTCTAGTGTAAGCAATGTTAGTGTGAGCAATGTTGGCTTAAATCAGTGTTTCTCAACCTCGGCAGGTTTAAGACATGTGGACTTCAGTCAGTGTAAGCAATGCTGGCTTACATCAGTGTTTCTCAATCTCAGTAGATTTAAGATGTGTGGACTTCAACTCCCAGAATTCCCCAGCCAGCCATGCTGGCTGGAGAATTCTGGGAGTTGAAGTCCACACATCTTAAACCTGCTGAGGTTGAGAACCACAGGCTTAGATGGACCAGTTTTCTAACTCAGTAGAAGGGAGCTTCTTCTGTTCAGTTAGATTGAATTTTGTAGCATGAAACATAATCTTTTACAGCAAATGAATAACCCTTATTTCTATATTAGCTAGGTTATATCAACTGGGGATATGGAGAACCCAATAATTATAATGGAGTAGAGCACTGTGGAGAGTTAAATCCAAATAACAACATGTACTGGAATGATGTACATTGTGAGGATATATATTTCTGGATCTGCCAGGTTACAAAAGGTACGAGTTTCTTTGTCACATGAAGCCATAATATCAAGTTAATAGGCATCATTAACCAATTAACAATGTGTTTAGTTTTTTAAAATTAATAATTAATCAGTAATTTGGCTGGACTTTGGGAATAATAAACATTGGGCATCCTCGTTTAAAATTTCTTTAAATGAAATCAACTAGTGGTATTTCATTCTTTGGTGAGAATTCATTGACCAAGCACCGTGGGCTTAACAGGCAAGTTGGGAGCGCATCAGGAATGGTGGTTTACTTACCAGATTCAAAAACTCCTTTAGTCTCTTGTACCTTCCTTCAAGGAACCTAAAATTATGAAGACCTGGAGCTGGCATAATTGCCTTCCTCTCATTGATGTTAAGGAGTGAGAAAGGTAGAAAATGTTTATATGGCGGGAAAAAGATAAAAAGCACCAATGTATATTTTACCTAGGCCACATTGAACAAATATGGCAAAGTAAATTCTCGTAAAGATGCGTATTTTAAAGATGCACATTCAGTTTCAATTATTGAGCTGAAGGTCATATTTGGTTTGAGTAATAAAATGGATGTAATGTGAATTCCGTGATTTGGAGCAAGCGGTATTCATTGTCTTAGTTTCATTAAGTTAAGCCAATCCACGTTTTCTTTCCTTCCTTTGTCAGCAACCTATGAAATTTCATAGTGACAAGCCAAACATTCAACCTATTCATTGAAATTATGTTAGATTTAATATACCTGTTATAGTTCCAAGTAAGACATTTGGAGTTTCTTTTCCCTGCAATGATGGTGAAGACTTCATCTTTGGAAATTCTGTTGATTTTTTTTTTTAGAATCTAGGTGCAAATGGGAGCATTAAAACTCTGTGAAGATTTATTATTTGCTGAAAAGTCATGGGGGCTATGGAATCTATCCATATTTCTCAATACATGTTTCCAGGGAACAACAGAAAAAAACAACCACTTGTGGACTTTCCACTATCATCTAGTTGACCAGTCCAGAGGACAGAATGCTGTTTTCGCTAAGTTGTTTCCCTGACCATCAAGGCTGCTATGTTTTTAAAAAGATAGATTTAATTTTTTAAAAATGTAAGGAGTGACAGGATATTGATGGAATAATCACTTAGGGAACACTTTTGAAATGTTTATTTAAATTATGGTGATTCAACTAATTAAGAGAGCCAGTTTGGCGTAGTGGTTAAGGCACCAGGCTAGAAACTGGGAAACCATGAGTTCTAGTCCCACCTTAGGCATGAAGCCAGCTGGGTGACGTTGGGCCAGTCACTCTCTCTCAGCCCTAGGAAGGAGGCAATGGCAAACCACTTCCGAAATCTTCCCAAGAAAACTGCAGGGACATGTCCAGGCAGTCACCAGGATTCAACAGTGACTTGAATGCACCAAAAAAAAAAAAGTAAAAAATCAACTAATTAGGTTAATAATATTATCCATTTTTTTCCTTTTAATATGAGAAACCACTCGTGTAGATTAGATTTTATTATAACTTTTCTTTTCCAGGTGTGCAATTAAATGCAGAACCAACAAATCCACCCATTCCAGGTAAGTTTCTATGGCTTGTTGTAATGAAATGGTTCTATGCCGATGATAAAGCTAAAATTGTGCTAATCTTCTTGTGGGTGAGGGGGGCAAATGATGAAACGTGTGCACCATCAAGCAAACACTGCTACTTATATACTCGCATTAGATGGAGGACACAAGTACGTAAAGGTAGCATTTGCGTAATGATGTCATGGTGTGCACGTTGTCATTTTGGTGTTGTTGCAGTTTGCTGAGGACACTGCTGGCTGAAAATAGCGATACTGTGTCCTAACTAGTTGGAGAGTCCCAATTTGTTATTAGCTGCGCTACAAGAAGAAAGGGCTTAATTCCATCTTGCATGCTTACATTATATTATTATTTATGCCCCACTTTTCAAAACAATGTATATGGGGGAAGTTCTCTCCTAATCTGATCACCACAACAACCCTACAAATTAAGCTGGACTGAAAGAGAATGTCCCAGAATCACTCAATGAGGTCTGTGGTTGAGTAGAGACTTGAAACTGTGATCAGATATGTAGCATTGTCAGATCTTCTCATAAACTGAAGGCTATTTGCTGATTGGTTGGCTTACATATTCTGAGTCTGCAGAATATCTAATTAATCTCTCTCTTTCATAGATTTTCAACTTACTAGTGATGGTTGGCTTGTCAATGAAGACAAGCAGTATTACTTCAACACCAACAAATTCCCAATGGAAGATGCCCGTGCATTTTGCAAGAAAAACTTTGGGGATTTGCTTGTCATTGAAGGCAACACTGAAAGAAAGTTTATATTGAAATATGTAAGGCACTTATTTATTATTTCTGATATGAGAACAATGAATGTGTATTATTTGCTTATTTCTTAGTTTATTTAAAGCATTTCTATGGCTGCCAAACACTGAGACTTTTGGTGGCTTACAATAACCCTAGCCTTCTTCAGAAATTTACATTTACAAACTCTGTATTATGGAAGTTTGAGTACATTTGAGCTTTTCCTCATTAAGGAATTAAGATTTAAATAACATATCACTCATATCTATTCTACTACTGTTCATGTCAGAACACTCCAAAAGTACTGGAAAGGGTATGGAGGGACAGCTTTTGATTTTCACAACTTGATCTAAAATTCATACATGCTATTCTATATTCCAAGTGTATCAGTCTTCTTCTGTCCTGTGGCTCCAAGAACAGTTTTATTGAATTACCCCCATAAAAAAGCCATTCCTCCTAATCAGAAGAGTTCTGTTTGCATTTTTAAATCAAGGAGCTAAATTCTAGGTTAGCAAATACTGGATCCTGACAAAAGCTCCATCTGTTAGATGATTGCAGTTAAAAGCTGGGGACTTTTTATTCATTGTTAAGATTTGCAATTGTGTCCAATAAATTATCCCAACACATCTGTTGCCAGATTAGATTGACTTTTTAGTAAGAGTTGGTGGAGTGGTTCTTTATAATCCTCCTTTGTAAACCTCCTTAAGGCATCTGTCTACCTAATTGGGGAAATCACACTGCTGAAATGAACTGATCCTTGGTCTTATCCAGCCTGATAAACAGGAAGTGCCAGATTTCTACCTTGGGCAGAATTAAGAATTCATCAAGTATGTGTGCAATAAAGCAATGGCCATCGCTTGAAGTAAGAAATCCATATTAGGCAGTTTTAGAAGAAAAGGGTGGGCTGAGATATTTAACCAGTTCCCCTGTCTGATATCTCTCCATTTTTATTTAAGAGCCAATAACTGGATTATTAGCCATTCTTCTTGCTTTGTATTTAAAGGAATGAGGTTGTTTTCCAAAATAACTTCTTGAAGCTTAATATAGACTTGCTTGAGACATAATTCCCAGACTACAAAAATAAGTGATAACCTTTTGTTTTGATGCTTTAGATCTTGCAAAATGAACAGATAGATACTTATTTCATTGGATTGCAACTGAGCCTTGATAAAATAGTCAAGTAAGTAAACAGAAAACATTACATCTTGTTATATGAGTTTCTTCTTACTTGTTTTGCTATCCTGATATGGACAATTAGAATTTTACACCTAGAAAAGCCCAATACAATGGCCTGGTTTACATGACATACTTGCTTGTCCATGGGGGAGGGGGGGCAAGTGATGCCCTGTATGCCATTATGCGCATGATGTCATTCTGATGCAGTGTTTCTCAAACTTGGCAACTTTAAGATGTGTGGACTTCAACTCCCAGAATTCCCCAGCCAGCCATGCTGGCTGGGGAATTCTGGGAGTTGAAGTCCACACATCTTAAAGTTGCCAAGTTTGAGAACTACTGTTCTAATGGAAGCCTTTGGTTTTACACTGATTGAAAATAATATGTTAACTTGCTTTAAAGCTGGATGGATGGAACTCCTGTCCAATACGTTGCCTGGGCACCGCACGAACCTAACTTTGCAAACAATGATGAAAACTGTGTGGTCATTTACAGAAATACAGGTATGTGGCTTGCTAGTTGACAATACCGGTTTCAGATGTATTTAAAAATGAAAGAATCCCCAAATCTGTATGTATGCTGAAGTTCATATTTTGGAGGAATGGCGACATACTTCACAACACAGAGGTATATACAAAAATGCATACAGGAAGGAAATATACAGTCCCAACTGCATAAAATAAATGGGACTTTTGTGTGTTTCAGTATCTTGCCAACAGCTCTCAGGCTTTGAATAAGAACAGACTTTGCCTGTGGGAAAATGTAATTTAGCACTACCATGCTACAGGGTCGTGTTCTGTAGATGGTGTCTGTTGTGTTCAAGGCTGGATTCTGCCTTAATAAGCTGGTCTGGGTTTATGGTGTTCTCAACATCTCTAGATTTTTCTCCATTTTTTCCTAAGGCTGTCTGACATTTGCTTGAAGGTGTGACTTTTGCTAGTTCTAGCCCTTCCCTGGTCTGTGGTTTTGGTTTAGCTGCTGCAGTGCCTTGGAGAGATTTCCTTTTCCTAATTTGTTCATCGTTGCTGAGTGACACTGTTCTGAGTAGATTTATTTAGCTGCTGCAGTTCCTGAGCTGAAGACTAGGGACATCTGAAGTTGCAGTGAAGACCGGTTTTCAATAGGTTCTGTGATTCCCAAGTTGGCTGATAGGGGTGTCTGCAGCTGACACACATTCTGTTTAATTAGAGAGCATCTAGGTCAGTGTTGTCCAAACATGGCCACTTTAAGATGAGTGGACTTCAACTCCCAGAATTC